TACCGTGTCAGGAATAGAAAGCTTTTGCAATGACAATTTCATTGTCATGTGGTACTATCAGATAAATGTTAGGTATAAAGGTTGACTTTTTTTCTTGGAATTCACGAATTTAAAGTTAGAGCATGGGTTCTCAGATATACTCACATTTGTAATCTAGAAGTAATAAGCCTTCTCTTGTGTGCCTGCTATGTGACTGGTGACTTTGTTCTGAGATCAGGGAGGTGTTTCATGGTGCTAGAACAAGGCTTGTCCCATAGTAGGCACTTAAGAGATACCTATAGAATAAGAAAATTAATATGAAGAACAGGAATTTTTACATCATTAATCTCTTTTTAATTTCCAGGTCTTCACTCCTGAGGACTCTAGCGGCGACCCCTTTGTTGCCGTGAATATACTCATTGCTGTGGGTGCTATCATCATGATTCTGGGTTTCCTGGGATGCTGTGGTGCTGTGAAGGAAAGCCGCTGTATGCTTCTCCTGGTGGGTTTTCCAGACAAAACTCCATTCCCCCCAAATCCAACATGTCAGTTCAGTAGTGTAATCCATCTTGATCAGTGTCACCCCATTCATCACTCTTCCCTCCAACCTATTTCAATTCTGGAGGACTATTTCCTGCCCCAATTTCAATCAAAAGACACCTAAAATTGAAGGGACATTGACTTCTGTTCAGAGGCTTTGATTATAGAAGCTAATACAGCTTACTTAGATTTGGCTTATTTTGGTTTAGATTAGAATATATAATATAATATAATATTCATCACATTCATGTATGTTTCCAACTTATCTCCCTTTAATACTAGATAAATTCAAATTAGTCCTAATCAGTAACGTTTTACTGGCACTACTTTCCTTAATCAGTATATGAGGCAAATGCTTCTTAGTGACAATGGAACTCAAATCTGCAGTTTGTTACACAGGGTAGGATGCATAAGAATTGTGGTTAATGCTTTTACTATAGGACAATCCAGACCGTAAAGGGAAGTTAATGCCAAAATGTCTGCTGCTGTCGCATGGAAGATAACAGATACCCTCCTTTTTTTCTTCTAGTTTTTCATAAGCTTGCTCCTGATCCTGCTTCTGCAGGTAGCAGCAGGTATCCTAGGAGCTGCTTTCAAATCTGAGGTATGTACACAAATGATATTTCATACTTTTGGGGAAAGCCTAAGACATGGAAATACTACCTTCTGGTGTGAATGATTTAACCTTGTTTTTCAATTTTCAGTCTGTTCGAATGCTGAATGAAACACTCCACAGAGATGTAAAGCTTTTGAGTGAATCAGGCGAGGATGGCAAAGAATTCCGGGAAGCAGTGAGTTCGTTTCAGAAAGAGGTAATTAGAATTTATTGGTCAATTGGGGAACTGAACCTAATTCTTTCATTTAATTCCATAAGGAATGAGCAACTCTATCCATTTTTGCAGATTTTGATGTCACGACGCAGTAAGGAAAACTAAATAATTTTAATGTGTTTCAATTTCCTAATTATAATCTGAAGATATTTAGATCAGATTAAATTAAATTTTAATTGGACCAAAGAGCTAATTGTTCTAATATAGAATTTACTATATAAAAGCAGTTTGTTGAGGAGTCGCTGTCTCATTTTTTTTCTCTTTACCTTTCCCTCTCTCTCGCCTTCTCACCAAGTTTTTACATTGGGTGGTTCGTTTAATATTCACAACATCCCTATGAGGTATGCTTTAGCTTGTTTTGCATTGCTATAATAAAATATTGAGGCTGAGTACTTTATGAGGAAACAGATTGATTCAGTTCACTGCTCTGAAGTTTCAAAAGCATGTCGTCAGCAGCTGCACTGTACCAGGGAGGGTCCGGGGTAGTGATAGCACAATGGTGGGTATACATTCTTTCAGAAACTAACTCATTTCTGTAAAACTCCTCCCCTACAACCAACATTACTTAACATAATAATAATCTATTCATGTAGATTAAACCTCAGTCACCTAATTACCTTCCAAAATGCCCTACTTCTTAAAAGTTCCTTAATACAAACCACTACATTGGGAACAAAATTTCCAGCACAAGGAACTGGGGAAAACATACCCAAACCATATTCAACTTGGTAATAACCTCAGAAACTTTATTATAAAGACAAGGCGGCTTGGGATTTTGAGAAGTATGACAATGAACCAGTGATGAGGTTGGAATTTGAATATAGATCTGACTAGATTATGATTATTTTTTGGGGGGGGTCTGGTTGTGGGGCCTGAACTCTGGGCCTGGGCGCTGTCCCTCAGCTCTTCAGCTCAAGGCTAGTGCTCTACCACTGAACCACCTTCCCAGTCCCTAGATTATTTTTTTTTTCATGAGAACAACCTCCTCCTCCTCCTTCTTTCCACCTTCCTCCTTTCCCCTCTTTTCCCTCCTCCCCTTCCCCTTCCTCCTTTCCCTCTCCCGTCTCCTCCTCCCCCTTTCCCTCCTTTCTTCACTATATTTTTTTCTTTAGAGTTAAATTAAAGCGTGAGGAGACAGTGAAGGTATTCTTCAGTAAGACCCCTACCCAATCTTTTAAACATTACTAGGCACTGTTCCCTAAGGGAAATACTACTGGAAGCCAGGTTTGTCTATTCAAGGTTCCTTGAGCAATGTTGTCTTTTTGTCATGCAGCCATTGTTTCCCATCCTTAGAGTGTACTCTCAATGAATACTGTACTCTAAAGCTTGACTTAAATAATTACATTGTGGAGCAACTCTTCACCAAACCTCTTATTCAGAATTTGCTTCATAGTAAACCACATGCACTATTTTGTTCTGGCACATCATGGACTTTCTCAGATTCTTAGAGGTGCCTGGATTTTATATTTTATAGGTCATCTAGCTTAACTTGGAATTCTTCAAAGTTGTATTCATGGTTTTCACCACTGAAATATTGAAGATTTGAAAGTTTACCAATTTTTTCCCATCTCATTTATATACAAGTCTGATGACCGATAGGTTCTTTCCTCATTTGAAATAAAACCTATCAAAATTTAAGCAATTTAATTCTAACTTATTTTGGATTTTGAAGAAACACAAAGTCTATAGATACATTTATATGTGGCAGCTTGTTTTTTTAAAAATGGCTGTCATTTGACCCCTCAAGGTTTGTTTTTCAAATGGAAACATCCTTAGTTTCTTCAGCTATTTATCAGATGACATTTTATTTATTTTTTTCCCAGAACATTCATCAGTTTCTATTTGGATAGATTCCAACTTATGGAAATTCTGCTTAAAGCATTATTTCCAAGAACCAAAGCCTGATATGGGTCAGTCCCATTTAACTTCCTCTGTGTTTTGAACTCTTCCTATTTTCCCTGGAGCTGCATCCTTAGATTACCTCCTCTCCTGGATTATAAACAGGATATATCAAGCATCCTTTATCTTCCCCAGTAAGCTGACCTAGGACAAAAGGAATAGAGATAATCACTGGGTGTCTGGGTTAAGTCCAGAGTCACATTTGCTGCACATTGTTCCTGGGATTTAAAGTCTCACTGCCAAATGTGAGTTATACTAAATGATTTCCTCCTCCTCCTCCTCCTCCTCTTCTTTCTCTTCCTCCTCTTCTTTCTCTTCCTGTTCTTCATTTTTTAGCAAGTTCCCTTGATATGTTCTTAGTTCTATGCCTGAAGTTCCTTATAAATTTACATTTGTTTTTCTTAACTTTCCTTGTTTCCTCCCTCCCTGCCTCCTTCCCTCTCTTCCTCTCTCCCTCCCTCCTTTCTTTCCTTCCTTCCATTATATATATATATATATATATATATTTTTTTTTTGTTGTTGTTGTTGTTGTTGTTGTTGAGTAAGGATCTTATTCTAAATGCTGGTGATCTACAGCACAAGGACACAGGACAAAAATTGAAGATACTGAGTGGTTTTGTTTTCCCTTCAGATTTTAATGAATTTCCACACATATTCCCTGTTAACATATGTTAGAATGTGCCTCTTTTGCATTTTTGCTGATAGATATTTATTTAGAGGTGTTTTATACATTCTCCATGTAAAGTCTTTTTCATCCAGCTGTTATAATCTTTTGACAGATTTGAGCAATTTCCTAATTTCTCCTACTGCTAATGTAGAGAACAGATATGTTGATAAACTTTAGTTTTCCTATCACTTCTCTTTTATGTTTCTATGCCTCTTTAGCAATCTTTATGTATATTATATCAAGATGTATATTATGTATTACAATAATGAACTGATTTTTGTGTATGTGTGAGAGAGAGAAAGTAAGAAAAAGGGCAGAGAGATTTATATCATTTTTATTTGAATTTTATTGTTTTTTTAAAAAACTGTTTTTTGTAAAATTCAGTCATTAGGCCAAAGCTCAAGAATTTATATTTGCCTAAGCTGAATTTGTTAGTTTAAATCCATTCTGTACAAACTTCGAAATACATTCTGTTATCTAGCCTAGACTCTATAACTAGTGTTGAACAGATACTAACTGTGGCTTTACACAAATCATGGGTAACAATGAAAAGATCATGTTCATGTGAGAACATAATAGAATAACAACAAGTGAACAACAAAAACAAAATTATAGCTGCTAATGGATATTATCAAGAGCTTTCTGTAAATCAGACTCTGAGTTAAACTCTTCCTTCCTTCCCATGAGTTCTCTCATTTCTACTACTAGCAGCTGTTACTATCTGTATTTTAGAGATGAAGAAACCACGGTACCTGAAGTTTGAATAACATAATTTACATGACCATTCAACCATGAAGCTAAAGTTCTTTCAGTATTCTGGCATTTTAATGCATCAAGGCCTGAAGTACTGTTTCGTTTTCTTCACAATTATTTCCTACCATTTCTGCATGAAGAGTCTTTTCCCTACTTAGAGTATTTAGGAGCAAGATGTGGGATGTGGGAGAATGACTTTTCTCACTTCCATCTAATAATATTGTGTGCCACATGCCTTGAGTCATTTGGCTTATTACTTCCTTGTTTTACATCCTCAAAAATGGCAACAAGTCCTCTTCCCCTATTCTTTAGTGTTTGGCTGTGTTTCAGTTTATTCCTGACATTTTTCTAAGCGCTCCATCCTTCGTTTTACTTGCTATTTTGAACATAACCAGGAAAATTCAATCCCAAGTAAGGTCACAGAACCTTTTTCTTTGGTCTGTGAAATGGCTCTCAACCCTTTTCCTTCTTTCCACTAAAAGTGACCCCTGATTTTGGGATGGGAATTTTAATCTCTAAAACTTGTTATCTCTTCTGAGCAACAGTTCTAATGAACTCTCTGGCAACTTCTTTGCTAAAATCCCAAACAAATACATCTGACTCTGCTCCTGCTTTTGCCATTAAATTTACCATGTAAGGTTTTGTTCGTTGTTTTCAGTTTTCTCAGATTTTGGCAATTGAGCCCAATTTTTTCTTCATCATTAAAGTGAAAAAATTCCTTTGTTGTTGCTACTCTGTTCAAAGAAGTGGGTGAGGTCATTTACATTATGTCTTAGCATATGAAACATTTTCATAATGACATTTAGAAGAATGTAATTCAGTGTATTAATAATGTTTTAAGCCTTCTTAGTAACTGCTTTCCATGCTGCTTTCTACCAAATAGCTTCAATGCTGTGGTTTGATCAATGGAGCTGCTGACTGGGGAAATAATTTTCAACAAATTTCTTCCTCATGTGAATGTCCAAATATGTCAACTGATACTTGTACAGTTTATGAAGGAAAATACGTTTACAAACAGGTGAGAAGTAAATCTCAGAATAACACGTGGTTCTGTTGTTTTCACAATGAATGTACAAAAAATTAAAATGCAGCAAGTAAAATGGGAATCATGATATGAACATGATAGACATTACTCAAGAAGAAAAAAAGTCCAGCTAAAAAAAGATAAATAGATATTAAATAATGAAAGTACTTCCTTTCTTCTGAGTTTGCTATCATGTGAACCCAACTTTTTATTTTTTATTGTAAAGATGATGTACAGAGGGGTTATAGTTACATAAAAAAGGTACTAAGTACATTTCATTTCAATTCCCTTCCCCTGACTTCCTTCCCCCTCAAGTTATAAAGTTCATTTCCAACATAGTATCTTGTATCACTGTTCACCCTTTGAGCCATTGGTTCATCCTTTTTAATAAGTGAAAATAATTTTCTATATGAAGTACAAAGTCAAGTACAAATTAACATGGAAGTTTATTTTGTACTGTCTTTGGTGACTTTGATTGTTCTTCTCTATATTTTTTTCTATTTTAACATTAGTTCTAGAAGCTAATATATTCACTTTTTTTCTAATAAAGTTTCTCCTTTCAAAAATATGTTGTCACTCCTCAGAACAACTAACTAACTCACAGTCTAACAAAATTAATACCGGGAAGCGGGTCCTTGAGATGTGTGTGGAGGAGGTCAAGGAGAGGAAATATGCAAATAAAGAGATGACGAAGAGGAAGATGTAGTCATAGTATTCAGTGCCTAGCCTATGAAACTAGGAATACTGAGGGTTGGATGGAGATGGGATACATACGGAGAATGATAAAAGAAAGCAGTTATATTGATCAAGATGCATTGTGCTCATAAACTGACATGTTGAATGATAAATCTCTTTGTACAACTACTTAAAGATACTAAAAATATCATAAAAGAATACATAAAATATATGTGAAAAGAAAGGGCTTGCCATTCAGAGACCTAGAGTCTAGGTGATGTTAAATGTAGCTGCTTACCCAGTTTTGTTGCAATAGAGAAAGAGCTTTGGCTATTTAAAGTTAATATAAATAAAAGACAAATCTTATCTTTTTACATGTTGTAGATGCCACATTTTTGTAACTTCTGGATATCAATGTGTACTTCTCTTATTTCCGGTTTTGATTACTTCATCAAATATTTATTGATCACCTCTTATATGGCCTCTCTCAACCACTAGAGATATATCCTTCAATAGAGTTCAATGTCTACACTCACAGAGCTGATGATAAAATAGTGAATGGAGAAAAGTAATTAGGCAACTTCAATCTAGTGAATTACTGGTGATGTTTTGATGGAGTAGACACACTTCTTAAGTCCCCATCTAATGAAGTCTTTGAAGCTCAGAATATGTCCTTATAGAGGATTGGATATTTGGGCTTTTGCAAGCCCTATTCCTTCTGCCTGGAAGAAATATCTCAAAATGACAACTGCCATTAGTGTTTCATTTATTTGCTATTATTCTTTAGTGCCTACTCTGACTCTATCATTCCCTGTTTGAATCAGACAAACTTCTAGATCCTTCAGGAGATTATAATTTAGTTAGAGAGGGACACATAAAAGTTATTACAATAATGAATTGATTTCCATAATCTTAATGATTAGTTTAGGTCAGGCATTGCTTTGGTTTAGAAACTGCTATGCTACTAAGTTTAATACATAAAACATCTGAGGGAAAATTTCTTACTGCTAATCACTTTGTCATTGATCTTATCAGAATTGAAAAGACTGTTCTGAAGCATTGCTATCACTAATATTTAAAATAACTCATGGGCCAGAAATTATTTTCTAGACTTCAGTGATGACGTGTTATTTTACTGTCAAAACAGTATCACTAGAAAAGTTCTATTCTTACACTTTATATTCTTCCCTACTCCCCTTATGCCTATCTAACTTAATCAAAACAAAAGATAGACGTGAAATAAACATAGTTCAAAGGCATGTAATTTCTACTTAGGATAATGAGGAAATTGGCAACTCATTTGCAGATAGACACCTATCTCCTATTAAGGTTTCAATTTAAAAGTGTCTTTCTCAAGATAGAATCTGAAAAACCTCAAAAGATACTCCCAGCAAATGCATACATAATTCAGCTGAATCTAGACTGCTAGCTGCCATGTTACCTAAAAGAAAGGCCATAAATTCATAAAATGCTTTCATCTACAGTGCTCTTTGCAAGAAGTCTGAAAAAATAAAAGATTAGGAGAGGTCATAATTCATATTTTTTCCTCTCTCTTCAGCCAAGATAAAAAGTAACAGGAGAGAAAATCACTCAAAAATAACAAATGTGACAGTAGATAAAATCATTAATCTCATAGTGAACTGTAAATAACATGATCATCTTAAATGTTTACTACTTTGGCTCAGATGTGAATGAGAAATCCATTATATCAAGGAATGAAGGAAAAGACTTGGTCTTACAGAGACCTTTTATTTTTATCTAGCATGCAGACTCATTTGTCAGCCTCTTACACATAAATGACTCTCACAGGGTAACATAGTCTGTGGTATTATAAACAATAGCACTATCTTATTGGCTAGTATTTGTTTTATTTTAAAAATTAACCTTGCAGTTTATAATTGTTGGAATCTTTTGAATTGGTTTGAAATGTTTTGAAATTGGAATTGCATGCTAGATTGTATAAATTTTTAAAAATCTGGTAGAGAAGCATCTTTCTAAGTAGTTTTTCCTATCCCAAGTAATAACATAATGACAGACACAATGATTTATTTCTTTTAAAGGTAAAGGTAACTCCAATAAATATTAGGAAAAGGTTTTGAAAAGTCCTTGAAAAATGAAAATTTAGAATGTAATTATCTAAAACTAGGGCCTCTCTCCTATGGATTATAAACCTGAGAAAAAATCCATAGTCAAAGTGATATCAACTCTAAAATGTGTAATTTGTATAATCCAGAGCCCTCATGTACCACGCATGAGGTCTAGAATTAAATTATTGTTTACATATTTTTAAATTATAGAAATGATAAGTTTTAGATATCTTGGTGAGAAATGTATTTACAATGATCAACCCATAACTTCAGTAATTAGGTAACCAAAGCAATATTTTGCTTCTTAAATGTAAGATATTGGTGAAAAACACATTATTATTTATAATTAAAGATTTTAGATTAAGCTGTTATGTAGCGGAGTTCCTCAGATGCTTATTTACTATATAGAGAAGACACAGTGGTGATGAACTTTTAGAACAAGGATAAAACAAGGAGTAGAAGGACTCAGCCTATTCTTTTGTGTTTAGTCTGTTTTTGTCATACTCAAGAAATCAACCAAATTGAACAAAAGCTTTAATATAAGATCAGAACTTTTATTAAAGGTAACACTTTTAATATACTTTTATTATCATTATTAAGGTGTTGTACAGAGAAGTTACCATTTCATAAGTCAGGTAATAAGTACAATTCTTTTGGGACCATGTCATCCTAAAGATAACACTTTTGTGTATATTTTTTCTTTACAGACATGTATTTCTTTGATTAAAGATGCCGTTGAAAAATATATCATCATCATTATTGGAGTAGCATTTGGACTGGCAGTTATTGAGGTATAGTATAATTTTTCATGATTGATTTCTACTATTTATCCAGCAATTCTTCTAACAAATATTTATGGGAAAATAACTTAAAACAAAGCATCCGAGGTGCATTAGAGAAACACTCGGTACAAACAGCTTAAGGCCTAGCATCTCCCTAAATCAAACATGAATCAGACAGTAAAAGTATTACAGTTTAATGAGATAAGCAGTACTGAGGCTATTATTTCTGAATGACCTCTCTATTGAGAAAAAAAATCAGCATATTTTGGCTCAGGTTTTGGTCTTAGATACCCTTTCCATAAGTATTCGAACCTCAATTGATGGTTCAGAGAAGTTCTGATGATGCTTATGCACTACTCTTGTCATTTTAATTATTAATGTTGCTAAAAATATTCTACATGGGATTTTTTTTACCTGATACACTTGCTTGGCATGATTTTCTAGTACCTGAATGATACTTTTAGCCTAAAAGTATTTGCCAAGAAGAGGAAATGAAACTGGTTAAGAGAAGCACTTTAAAAATTATCTCAGAATTTAGATCATTTAGATACCAAGTGAGTTGAAATTATCTCACAATCCTACTTCTGTACATTAGCAAGATTTTGAGTGAGGTAAGATTTGTCCTTGGTTAATTCCTCTAAAAGATGGCCAGCTCAGCTTAGCAATGCTTGTTTCATTCTCACAGACTGCTGTGTGGTGTCCCTGAGTTTTCTGGAAGTTTTTTGCCTCTTACTTGAGCCACATCATTGCCAGATAGGAATTTCAGTTGAGATTAAAACCGTTTTGTGTTTCAGATGGATATGCAGATTGCTGGTGAATTTTTTTTCAACCAATAATTAGGGAAAGGGAGCTTTAGTGGCAAATTAGGCTCTTGTGTCTTTGTAGCCCAAGTGTGTCTTTCCTTGATTCTGTGTTTTGTAGTATCTATCTTCTTTCTTTTCTTCTTTCATTCATTCTTTCTTTTCTTCTTTGTTTCTTCCTTCCTTCTTTCCTTTTATGTTTCTTCCTTCTTTCTTTCCTATTCCTTCCATCCTTTTTTCTTTCATTCTTCCTTCCTTCTTTCTTTCCTTCTTTCTTTTCTATTTCTTCCTTCCTCCCTCCCTCCCCTTCCTTCCTTCCTTCCTTCTTTCCTTCCTTCCTTCTTCCCTCCCTCCCTCCCTCTCTTTCTTTCTTTCTCTTTCTCTCTCTTTCTTTTCTCTTTCTCTCTCTTTCTTTCTCTTTCTCTCTCTCTCTCTCTTTCTTTTCTTTGCTTGCTTCCTTTCTTTTGTGTTCTTGATTTATACTGCTTTAAAAATACAAGCTAATAGCCATGGAGATGAGTGAAGAATCACATACATATACTCATATTTTTGTAAACACATAGCATGCGTATATATCTTGGTGATGTAGAAGTTAAGTGATTACGCATGTAATCTGGGGACATAGGTCAGCAATAGAGCAGGTGCTTATTATGGGTAATGTGCTGATCCCCAGCACCATAAGTAAATAAGTAAGTGAATAAATATTATTAGTCTGAGCTACATAGCAAGAAATGATATTTTTTAAGCAAAGAAACATAGTGTGTGTTTATAGCTTGTGAGAATAACCCAAGGTACTTGGGACAGATATTTAGATACTGAACAGACAAATCTATGAGACTCTTATCTCCAATTAACCAGCAAAAATTGGTTATAAGGCTCAAGTGGTAGAGCACTAGGTATGAATGAGAAAGCCAAACAAACATGCAAGTCTCTGAAGTCAAGCCCAAGTATTGACATACATGAAAAAAAATCTAAACAAACAAAAATCACTTCATGCAAAACAACAATAAAACAAGTTTGGGAAAGCAGGATTACAATGAGAAATCCCATGTTAAGTGTTCAATTTTATGTGTGACCCAAATTCAGATAGTTGACTAAGACTGCTGCAAGTATTAGATGATTTCAAAAGGCTTCTTGAGAACAGAGCCCAGAACAACAAGGACATAATTGTGTGGGAAGATTGATGTCTCTCATAATAGCCAAAAGCGTTGCCCCAAATCTAAATACTTCTGGTGGAAACTAAGATTATGAAAGGAGCAGTGCATTTCAATATTTTATGAAATGGGTATACTTTATGTAGTTGTTGCATGATTTAATAGCTTATTGCTTCTTTTAATGGACCATACAAAGCAATGCTTCAAAAATCCATCCTACAGTATAGTAATTTATAGGTATGAAGTTTATACGGAATGTCATAAAATGTAACCACATTTTGAGTTAGACTAGTTAAATCAAATGTGATTTCTAGACTATGTGTACACATGATAAGTAGCTGATTCTAAGAACTCTTTGAAACTTTGTGCTCGAGTCCTCAGTCTTCAACCTGCCACTCTCTAGGGTTGAAAGGAAAAGAAAGTCATTTTACATTCCATCATGCTTTATTCAAACAGGAGATTTGAAAATAGTCTTTTGCTATTCAGTCTATCAAAATAAACACAAAAATGTACTTTAGTCTTAAAGTCATTAATATGAATTGCATAACGGACCTATCTTTCTTCTCTGTTTTCCTAGTTCAAATTCAAGAAAGTACAAAAACACATAGAGAAAAAGTCTCCTGAATATTTTTTTTTTTTGGTCCAGTCATGGGGCCTGAACTCTGGGCCTGGGCGCTGTCCCTCAGCTCTTCAGCTCAAGGCTAGCGCTCTACCACTTGAGGGATAGCGCCACTTCCGGCTTTTTTCTTTTTGCTTATGTAGTGCTGAGGAATCGAACCCAGGGCCTCATGCATGCAAGGCAAGCACTCTACCACTGAGCCACCTTCCCAGCCCCTCCTGAGTATTTTTTAAGGAAACAGGAACAATTATCTCTTTTCAGAAAATATTTCCAGTTCATCTTCACAGAAAAACCTCAACCTGTCCTACATTTAAATATCTAGTAAAGGGGCTTTGATGGAGTAGACTGATAGTTAATTCCAGTGCTTTATATTAAAGATACAGATTTGGCAGGTTCTTTTTCATATTGGATGCTAATAAACTTATACAATCTAAGTTGCTCTTTAAGAAAAACATAAATGTGTAGACATTTTTGGAATTCTTATTGTTAAATGAGCAGATAATTTGATGGTAGCAACATTAATAAATATAGAAACATGTCTCCATGTTAAAAAATAATCTGCTAGCACAGAATAAGGACCACCTTTAAAAAAAGACAATTTTATCTTTTTTTCTGGTCAGGGGGCTTCAATTTTGCTCAAGGCTAGTGCTCTACCACTTTGAGCCACAGCTCTACTTCAATTTTATCATTAAAAAATGTTTCAGAATATAGAAATTTGTGCATAGCAACTAGTAAATTTGTCATGAGCCTTAGCATACATTATAAAATGATGAAAGTCAGCTTTTGTGCTGTTTTTCTGGACCATCATATGTGGCTTTTTATCAAAGGGTTGCAAGAAAGTGAGTTATTAATAGTAAATAACTGTTTAAAGAACTGTTTGAAACTTCTATAGTTCAGTATTTCAGCTTGTCTGGTTGGCTGATGACTGGGTGGGCTTCTATGTCAAGGATGGGTCAATAAAGGGCAATAGTTGTTTTATTTCATTACTTTGCCCATTTTTATCCCTTTCTGACACTTACCCCTCAACCTTAAGGTTTGGGATTAAGGCAAGAGTAAGTTTAGTTCTGAATTTAAGGATATTCTGAATGAAAGTCATACTTCAGAGAATTGATATCTTTTTTCATTCTTAAGAAAGAAGAAACATTGGGCCACAGTTCTCATTTGAATTATATATTCCAGGAAGGATGAGCAGAGGGTCAACCTAGAGCAGTGTCTGAGATAACTCAGGAGCTTAGAAGGGAAGCACTTTACTTATCCATCCTGTCTCCCTTCAGAAAGGGAGAGAATTTCCCATCTCTAAGTCACAGAAATCCTTTCTATCTTTTCTACATCAAAGCCACAGCATTCAGGTCACCAACGGCAGAGAGTCAATTAGAGCAAGTTTTGGGGTCTCTTACTTTTGGAAGAACTTAATGAGATGGAAATTATGTCCCAGATTTTTCCATTGTGCTTTGCTGCTTCAAAGAAAATTCCTGATTTAAGCTATTCCCCTCCTAGTTTAGAAGTATATTTTCAAAAACTTATTTCATTTTTCACTCCTCTAGGCAATGCCTAAAACTACAATGAGAGAAATTCTAGACTCCGTGATTTTTATGCAATGATCGAAAACAGATGACTACAGCATTTTTAAAATAGAAGCATTAAGAATATTTAGTCTCCAGAAGCCTTAGGTCCTCCAATCTCTAGGGAGATACTCTCAGAAAGATGTGAATGTTGGAGAAAAGGAGGAATCCTCTGGTGACATCTAATAGTCTCAGGTAGCACCAGCAATAGCTAATTGGCCAACTGAGAGACCCTGATTTGGAGACAAAAAGTACAGAACTTTCTCAGGAAATTATAGAACTTTCACAATAAATGTAATTTCTCCAAAGGGAGTCATGTTAATTCCATTCTAATCCTGTTATTTTATTCTCTAGATAATTGGTTTGGTGTTTTCTATGGTCCTCTATTGCCAGATTGGAAACAAATGAACCCGTGGACATGTCAAGATATCATCAGTCAAACCTCTTTAAAATTTTGCTTCAGTCTTTGTAACTTCAAATATACAAGTGCTGTATATATCAAGAGCAGATGTCTTGTGAAAATATCTCATTTAGCTAGACCATAGATATTTTCTGCTCATATTGAACATATTTAAGGTTTGAAGGTGTAAGAAAAATAAAATGAAGTTGTATTTTTACTCAAAAAAATAACAGCTGCATGCTGTATTGGTGTGTCTGTGGTCACTGTGTTTCAGGTAGCTCTGTGCTTACATTGTTCATCTAGAGCCACCCAGTGGAACAATTTTCACCTCCAAATGACAGAGCCATAGATAGTTAAGGTAGTGAATATGGGATTTTCAGAAACATGATTCTTAATGAAGTGTAGCAACCATTAGTGATGAGATTGAACTGTCTCAGTTGAAACAATTGTGACAAGTATAGCTTTAAGAGTTTCCTCTCTTCTTTTGTATAGCCTGGCTGTGATAGAGTCTTTCTTTTGTATTATTGTATTATGTGAATTGCCAACCTCACAGTTTGAGAATCTCTATATTTTTCTTCCAAATTTAAATTTTAGTGTCTGGGTGATGTGCAGAAGGGTTACATAAGTTAATGGATACATTTCTTGTCAAACATTGTTACTCCCTCAGTCATTTTATTTCTTAGAAACATTTTTTTTGAATTTTTCTTTTAGTGAAGCATCATATACATGTAGCAAAGTAAATGAATTTGTGTATGTTCATAGGCCTGTGTGAGTTTTATCTGAATAATGACTCAAGCTATCCCTAACTACAGGAAAATGTGCCTTTGTGCCATTCCCTAGTGATATGCTACCAGATCAGATTGTATATGTGTATATTCTCAAATCTGTGTTCAGTAATGTCACATTGCTAGCTTGGGATCCACAATGGTGAGTGTATTTGTGCCATAGGAATTGGGAAATACTATAAAATCAAGTGTTTTTTGTTGTTGTTGCTTGGGGGTTTTGTTTTTATTTTTGTATACTGGTTGATAAACACATACACTGGAAGGACCAGTATCGTCACTGAATCATGCACTTTTCTATCTCTTATGATCATAGATTTATTTTGTCTGCTCTTAAACCTTCTCTAAATGAAGTAATAAAATACGCACTCTGGATTCTCTTTGCTTAGCATTTGATCTGTGTGATTCATCTATTATGTTGCATGTAGTATAGTTAATTCTCATAGCCATTGTGTATGAACACATGTATTTATCTATTCTTTTGCTGATGGGCATTTGATTGCATTAATATGAATAAAATTGCTATCAACATCTCCTCATGTCATTCTCTTTAAATGTATTTGTGGACACAGGCAGAGGTGGAATGGTACATATAATTTTCATAGATTCTATAACGTAGTTGTAATAATTTATGTTTATAATGGAAAGGTATGAAAAACTCAATCCCATCTTCTGAAAATAGAGAAAAAATACCAATGAAGGTCATTACTGTCAATTAGATCAGAAATGGCCAAGCAGTGGGAATTTTTTTGAATTAAGTTTTTTATTGTGAAAATACTGTACAGAGGGGTTACAGTTACATGAGCAAGGTAATGAGTACCTTTCTTATCAAGCATTGTTGCCTCCTCCTTTGTTGTTACCCTACCATCCCTTCCCTCCCACCTCCTCAGCTACACCCCCCCTCACCCTTACCCCCCCACCTAAATTGTAAAGTTAGTTTTTCAACATAACGACTTGTACATCTCATTGTTGCAATGGGTCAATATGTATCCCTATTTAAACAATTTGTTTTTTCCCTTTTCCTCCCTGTACGGTTAGTTACCTCAATTTTGTGCTTCCTTAACAATGATAAAAAAAAATATCCTTCTGTGATCATATGTGGTCTTCCAGGAGCTATATGAGAAACAGTATTATCATCTCATTTCTTCCAGTCATATTCTTATGAAATAGGTAATATTGTTATCCTCATATTTCAAGTGAGAATACAGAGGATTAGGAAAGTTAGGTAACTTGCTCAGTTACTAGATAGTAATTGGCAGAGTTTGGAATCTGACCTTAACAAATGCCTCCCCAACCCTTGACTCTTCATTGTGCTGGCTTCTACATGATATACCAATCTGTAAACATGTCCTATTTTATTATAATGAACTAATAATGTGTTTGTTTGCTAGTATTCTGAAGCTCCTTGCCTCTTCTTATGTTTATAACCCCAGTACCCCATGAATTGTACTCAGTAGTTTGTGATTAAAAATAATAGATTTACTGAGGGTTTCCTATACACCAGAATATGCTATATGCATTTTAGATTATAATTCATTTAATCCAGAAACACTCTATTAAGTGAGTACTATTTTTAGACCTAGGCCTAGAGAGATTAACTATCATCAGAGTATACAGTTATTAAAGTGTTGTGATTAGTCTAATGTACTTACTTATGGCTTATCAGCCCATCTTACTTTACAATGTAGCTGAAAAAATAGTAAGAAAATAATTACACACAAAAATGTGTAATGTCAGCTACACATAGGAGTTCAATACATATTACAAATACAAAGACCTTGTCCAGGCTGGGTTAGCAGGAAAACAGAAACCATCTAGTCATTTCAAGCAGTGCAAATATAACAGAAGGAAGTGCTGTATTAGCTAATGTGAACGTCCATAACAAAACATACCTGGTAAAACGGCATTTCTTTCCTGGAAGCTGATAATTGCAAGACCAAAGGGATGACTGATTCAGTTCCTAGTCAGATGTCTCTTTCTGGCCTTTAAACATCTCTTTTCTGTATCCTTGTATGGGTGAGGAGTGGAGAGCATGCCCTCTGGTTACATCCCCCCTGTGAGGACAGCAATCCTATCAGCTCAAGGTTCCATTCTACCATATTACATAACATTAATTGCTAGACTTCCTCCATAATGAGAGTTAGCTTCAACATTGGGGCTATAGAAAGAACCTAGCAGTTGGTTACACGGATGATGGAGAAAGTAAGAAACTAAATGGGAATGGGAGGTAAATCAGAGACCGGCAATGGTGGGAAGCTGCTACCATCCTTGTAACTGCAAGGGCAGAAATAATGTTATCAGACCCCAAGTTGCAGGGCCACCCGGTAGAAAGTGGAAACATGGCATAGACCACAGTGGAGGGAATTGTCTAGGAAATGGAATGAGGATGACTCAGCAGCTATTATTAGAAGAGAAAAGAGAGAGAAGTGCCCTGGCCTCTCCCTTCCTGCCAGACCTCCATTGGATGAACCCACATAGATGCCAAAAACAGTAGAGCCTAGGATAAAGTTTCCACTGATACAGAGCAGAGCTGGGAAGAAAAAGAACTGGATCAGAGCAGACAGGAATAAAAGTGTCATAGTAATTAGAGAACCAAGAACAGACACACAGGTACCAAACTTTTGGGGGAAAGGGCATAAAATGGCAAAAAGTGTAACTATAATGAGGACTTGGAATTTTCCTAAGGAATTACATAAAGTTGCTTGGATTTTTTTTTCTCTTTTGACTAAAGCTCATGGCATTTCAGAAAGACAGAAGCAGTTGTTCTTAACTGGAGGCCATTTTCCCTTAAGAGGATATTTGTCAATGTCTGGAGAGCAGTTTGGTTATCACAACTAGTGAAAGAGAGATGTTATGAACATCTGGTGGGCAGAGGCTAAGGAATCCAGCCATGCTACAGTACACAAGAATTACCCATTTCCAAATTTAATTGTGCTGTGGTTGAGAGCCTCTGTTTAGAGAATCACATATAAATAATAATTTTTTAAAACAAATCTTACCAGGAGACAGTGGCACACATATGACTGGAAAATAAGCTAGAGTAGGGGCAGAAATTTTCATCAGCCAGTCCTGACAACTGGCTGAGCTTATGATCCTCACAAGTCATTTACTTTGAGTTTCCTCATCTTTCAGTGAGAAATTGTATTGTGAAAGTTTTTAAGTTTCCTCCACCACTTGAAAATACTTCTGAAATGTGTTTCTGTTCAGGTTGGAGGTATTTTAAAACAAGAATATTCATTTTCTGGGTGGGAAGGGGAAACAAAGAGGAGGCAATAATGCTTGATAAGAAATGTACTCATGGGCTGGGAAGGTGGCTCAGTGGTAGAATGCTTGCCTTGCATGCCTGAGGCCCTGGGTTCGATTCCTCAGCACTACATAAGCAAAAAGGAAAAAAGCGGGAAGTGGCGCTGTGGCTCAAGTGGTAGAGTGTTAGCCTTGAGCTGAAGAGCTGAGGGACAGTGCCCAGGCCCAGAGTTCAGGCCCCATAACCGGACCCTCCCCCCAAAAAAAGAAAGAAATGTACTCGTTATCTTGCCCATGTAATTGTAACTCCTCTCTATTCTCACAATAAAAAATAAATTGAAAAAACATAAAAAAGAATATATGATAGTTTATATATATTAATCTTATTTTTGCTATTGAAAATGATTTTTGAGGAAAGCTTTTTATTCCTAAAGGGTATTAAATTCAGACTTTAAAATGTGTTCACTCTTTCCCCTTCATGCTTCCAAGATCAAACCAGAATGTTAAAAGAAAGTATTCAGTTTGACTATAGAACCATAGCAAGAACAAACGAAAAAAATTCCTCAAATTGACAATTCAATACAGATAGAAACATTCTTCAAATTCAGAGAACTGTAAGAATGGTCTTCCTGATGTTTAAGATTGTATAATTGTTCTGGTTTAAGTATACAGGGTTTATGTTAAAGCTTGGCAAATACTCCTCAAAATCTGCCTACTTCTCCATTTTTCTGTCACTATGATTCTCTCACATTTTATAATCTCTCTTCAAATAGGATCATGGCAATAATCTCTTAATGGACTTTTCTACATTTTTTTGTATCTTCAAATATATTTTACATGGGACCTTAGCAGTAAGCCATCTAAAATACAGATATCTTGTTATACCATTCTTCCAAGTCTACAGAGACTTCAATGATGCTCTGTACACTACAAGGCCCTTCGTAAGAACCAAGTCCACCCTTCCCTGCTTGGGCCTTCAACATTCCACTCTAATGTTATCCAATCCCACTTCTGTCATGCTGCTCACTGTGCCACTAATGACGATCATATTCATCTAGTTTGATTCCTAAGGTCTATCTTAGATGTCACCTCCTCTAGCATGCTTTACTGGATTTGGTCAGAACTGAGTTAATCTGCAATTTATCCGTATTCTCCCATTGCATAGTGTATTAAATATCACTTCTCCAAATGTGTTTTGG